CACCCCGCCTCCCGACACACACACTATAAGAGGAACCACTGTTTATATAACAAACACGCCAAATGCTGTCTTAAACTCAAACAACAGAAATGTCATGTAACGCACAGGTGTCAAGCTCTACTATAGTAAGCTCACGGCCCGTGAGAACATTTATTTTTTAAGGCAGTCCATCCTGAGAATCTCCAAAACACAGAGCCTTACTCCAAACATAAACGAAAGTGTTGCTAAGGAAAGATGCCTAACACATCTCAGCTCTGACAAATCAGCATAAGAGTGAAAATTGGTAAGTTTTGTAGTGTTATTATTAAAACTCTTTTGAGAGCGTTTATCTTATATAATAAATGTTTTAAAAACGTTTCGTCTTCCATGACTCAGTGAGTGTTTCTCCAGTTCAGCTCCCAACCTTAAGTGTAATTTGTGTTCGGCCCCCTGAACGATTCAGTTTAACACACTTGATCTAGCCTACATGTATAAGGGTTGGGTTACTAGACACGGGTATGCTTTGAATGCTTGACATGCGCTAATAACTATGTTGATACGACCCTGTCTTTGAGCTGCTGCTGAATTCTCACCAGGGACTTGAGCTGCCAAGCACCATGTATTTATTTATAACTAGCTATCTGTATGGTTGTATCAAAGATTCTCCACTAGTGGATAATCGTTGAGAGTATGTCCCTGTACCAATGTTCTATTCAGAGTTCAGCAGAAAGCGTTAAGTTAACCTTGTCTTTGTTTGTTTCTTGTTGTCTTTATTTTTTGGGGTTTAAAAAAAAATAGATATATTTTTTTTTCTTTTATATTTCGTGCCTCTTCTTACCGTAGTTATAACAAGACACGTTTTTACATCATTTTACGCCATAAGGCATGTTTGTGCAATTATTCTTTATTTGTGTGATATTGTGTAATTATGAACGTATTATATATGCATGTATTTTATAGTTATATATTTATGAAAGTATGTTTGCCTTTGTAACGCAGATTTCCCCACGGGGATCAATAAAACGCTATTTATCTTCTATTTTCTAAAATGTATCTATTTATTTATGTGTTTACTCATCTTACCGTGACAACAATAGAAGCTGTGACAGACTGAGCGCCGGAGGCCGCCTTATCCTTCACCCTAACCAACACCGTCTCGCTCTGTGTAGTCTCGTAGTCTAAGGCGTTGGACACGAAGATGCTTCCGACTGTGTTGTCTGGGATACTAGAGAACAAGAAGACAAACATAGATTTCTGAGCACAATAAAAAGTCTTTTGATTGTTAGGCATAGTTTTGTTGGAGTTAGAGTAATGAGGGGCACACCGGGACATGAAGGGCTATTTAGTGTAGGGGAAGAGCAAAGCAGACTGTCATAAATAAAAGAGGGAAAGAAAAGAAGCAAGAGCTCCCCCATGTACCCTCCAACCACCCACCGTTTGATTACGGTAACAGACATTAAAATGTGTGGGAGCATTTTTATGAATGTGTTTTTTTGTTGTTGTTTTTTTTTTGGGGGGGGGGTTAATATAAGAATGTTGCATTGTTACTCATTGTATGGAAGTGCTGACAGATTCATCGTCTGAGATTATCCTAGTTCGAAGTCCAGTAGGGAGTTCTTGAATTTGGGTTGTTTTGAGAGTTTTGAAACCTCTCCACATTTGAATTGGTCCTGTCAAAGATGGATAATATGGTCGGAGGTCCCTCCAGTGTCATGATCTTGAAGTGTTCACCCCATAGCATATCAGCAAGGAAAAATTGTTTACAGTAGATTAAGCGAGATCCTCAGAGACTTACAGGAGAAGATGTATACGTTCAGTTGTTTCTCGTAGAACTTGATTTGTCTCAATGGGAACAAGCAATGGGAGAAAGTAGAAAGAAGTGGTAAGAATAAAGAATTAACCTAAACTGCATATTATGCCAAATGTTGAAACCTGAAAAAGAAAACCCAAGATACTACAATGTGGTTTTGTCATTAGGGAGATCTAATTGGGGAGAGATGGGCCTTTATGTGGCGGGCGTCTTTGGTGTTATAGCAAAGCTCTTAGTCGTTTGATTCTCGAGTCGGAAAACCTATTTTATTTTGCACAGTACATGTATTTATGTCTGTGTGCAGGGATATTGTATTCCACACAGCTTTGATTTGCCCTAACATATTAGATCAAAGCAGCCCGCCTCCTAAAAGATCAAAACTGTGTCAGTGGGGCGTAAAATATTAAAATTTACCATTAAGTGAGATATGTACCTGAATTTTGTGGTGTCGCCTTGCTGTATGCTGTACTCAAGGTCGTTGTTTGGGGAAGTCAGGTCAGCATCAGTGCAAGTTAAGGTCAGTAGAGGATTTACTGTATCTGTAACAGATGAAAGACGGCTAGGTGTTAGTCCAACTAACAGAAAGAACAGGAAAAAAGCACACGACGCAAAAGCATAAAACATATCACTGGAATATTATCGTATTATTAATATGAAGCAGCGAGCAAACATCTCTTTTTTGGTACATATTTTTTTTTCTTTTTTAATAGCTTATTGTGCTTTCTTGGGA